AATAAGGTTAACAGATAGGCCGATGACCGGGGCTGCAACTTCCAAAGGTTACTATTAAAAGATTTAACGGTTGGGCAACCAATGGATGTTGAGAATTTTGTAATTGAGTTATTGCAGTAGAGAAGTTGTGTAAATATAAAAACAAGAGCCATTTTGATTTAAAATGATACAGCTTTTATTTATGTATGGCAGTATATTGTTTGTATATTTGCAAATTTTGAAATATTATAATTCCAAGATGTTTTGTATGAAAAAACACCAATAAGAGTAAAGGAAATTGAGTTTGCCTTTATAATTCCCCTTGCCATTGTTAAAAAAGTATACTATTTTTTCAGGTAAACCCAAATTAAGGCTTCAGGCATAACAAACATGTTATAAAAGTGTTCAACTATTCTAAAAGAAATGCTATTACTATAAATTTTGACAATCTTTAATAATTTAAGATTAAAACATTCTTTTAATAGTCTAAAATGGTTTCAGTCAACAAGACCTTCCCGGACTTTTTTTGCTTCAATATACGAGTACTTGTTGAATTTGTACTTGTTTTATTCAGTCATCATAGCCTCATACTTGATACTAATATACAATGCAGGAAACAAAAGCTAAAATTTACTTAGAGTAGACACTCTCTTGAACGACATGGATTAAACACTTCTGTCTCAGTAAAAAATATATATTGGTATATCCATTCTGAATTTTAATACTGGTTGGATTAACCTTTTACCGAAATCTATAGACTTGGATTACTTTACTTGATCCTGTAATAATATAGAATAATGTCTGTGCTGGTAGTTGTATTAGCAGTTAAAAGTTACCATGGGAAAATAGTAAGGAAAAATAATCCAAGAGACGTTTTAGATCATCTGACCTATGCTCTGTTATAAATAGATAATAAATAAAAAGGTCTTTATTTAGCAAGCCTTTACAGAAACAATTAAATTTTACATAACAGACGAGTTGGTATATTGAAATAACAACAAGTCTCGTTATTTTCTGTTGATCACAAAATCCTTTCACAACTCTTAGAATGTTTGTAGTAAGCAATACCTATTTTACCTCATACACATTCCGAGTATGCAGGTTAGCCGCAGAAGTACTGAGTTATGCCAATAAGATATGAGTGTCATGATATTCTCAGCCGCACTGCCTAGGTTTTGGCGTGTGACTCCCTGGTATTCCGGACCTGGCAGGTTGTTGGCGTGGGCGTCCCTGCCAGAATAACATTGTCGAATAACGCCCTCTTTGTGCTAGTAAGCACTGAAGAAAGTTTCTGTCATTTAAATAACATTAATTAAAACGTGGAGGGCTTGTAAAACGAAAGATTTTTTTTGTCTAGCTCTTTGTACAGTGTACAACCCCACAAACTTGTTATGATGTTGACTAGAAGGGTGCTCAATTTGGGAAATGCTGGATCTTGAGAAAAAGGGCTAAAAATGTAAACTTAGGCCTAACATAGTAATCTTTTATGTATTTCTCATATGCCACACATAACATCACAACATACCTCCTTTGTTCATGGATGTTTTTCTACATTTAAAACACCATAACATCGAATCTCACCAATACAACTAGTTAAAGAAAATACACAACTCAATTTTCTTGATGAAATTCAAAGCTATGTCAATGAGTGAAAGACCATTTGACGTTGTTTAGCCTTGCCTTCTTGAATAAATTGCGTTTATTCTTTTACTTACTTACGTTTATAAAACCTTTTACATATGTCTATCCCTTGATGTTGCTTTATAATGTGCTTGTAGGAATATATTTTCAACAATTTGTGTAAGCTGACCGACCCTGTAGGCCTGATGTTTATCGCTGTAAACATCGTAAGTTTACATTTTCCCAACAACATATGCGGCCCGACAGACTGTTGACAATTTACAAGACAACAGCGATTGTCTGTATCGTTGTGTCTTTGCCAAATTCTTACCACGAACGATGTGTCGTACTCCACTGACGCCGCTTTTAGTTCAGATAAATTTGATCTTGCGGTCACTTATTACATGGAAACAATCCATGGCGATGGAAATAACGGAGATGTTTTGGACCATTTACAATGCTGTAATTGACAGTGTCGGTGTGTTTATCTGCGTTTGGCAAACTTGTATGTTTTAGATAGAATTGATAAGAGCCAATTTGTTTTTCAAACGTACTAAGCATATGACGTTTAATAATTAATACTAGATATCAAAAATATGTAATGTGCAGGCTTCTTTATTTTCACCCCACGCTGTAAATAAAACATATGATTGAAATTTCTTCAATTTGTTTTGATTTTCTGTTCATATTTCGTTGTTATTTCATCACCACCATGGCAATCCATAAGGCCCATGTTAATAAACAAAAATTAATCCATTTTTGTGCTTATTTTTTAGCCTATTTTAATCTATTTATGGGATTCTGCACATCTAAAGGAAAATATCTTTCTAACAGTATGCGTATATTCTCCCTACGATGAACACAAGCTGAGAAAAAAGGTTTTTAAGAAACATGCTTGCCTATTCATTCATTTTCATTTTCAAGCCATTCTATTTAAACTTTTGTAGATATCTCAGCATCTTGTTCCACTTGCTTTTCAGCTAGTGTTTTATTTTATTGTGCAACATGTGTTTCTAACGTCATTAAAAGAGTTTGAAACATTCTGCAAGTTATTCACAAGATTTTTTAGTAGCACTTTCGGCGGTGGGTAGAGTTAGGCATTCCATTCATATGTTGCTAGTTTTAGAATAAAAATGATGATAGCTGAATTGATCATTCAACAGATTGTAGTGCTCTCAATTTCCTCATTTCTGTTGTATACACTAACATTTAAAAATTACCAAACTGTAAGGACAACTTGTTGTCAACTTATTCTAACATTTTCTTCTTGAATAAATATTTAGCTACAGCTGGTCCATATAAATGGGAAGTCTATCAATTTGATTAGATATCCACTGGTATCTAATCAAATTTATTTTTGAATACTGAAGTAGTAGAGTCTATATCATAGACTAACCAACACAAGTAGACTTCTCATCACATTGTAAATTTTGAAGCTTGTTTTTCGTGTCTAGTTCATGTCCGGTTACACTGATCGCTAGTGTCAACAAAATTTTGTTTATATTATTTTAGGATAAATTTTATGATTTGTGCTTTACTCTTTGGTAATACAACTAGAGGATAAGTTATTTTCTTGATTAGGTCGTTTTATTTGGTTAAATGAGGTTTTAAATGACTGAAATAACAAGAAACAAATTGTAAACCAAATTGTAAAAACTAAAAAGAATGGAGTAATTATAGATTATGTAGGCGTATAAAATTATTATTTCGAGCTTAATTTTTTTACTGAAATAATTTACGTGACTTATATATGATAGCTTACAATGAGTTGTTCTATCAGTTTGACTCGGTTAAAAAGTCTGCAGACTCAACAGAAATCAATAATTTACACGAGATCTGTCAGTAGCTCAAGGTTCAATACAACTTCTTCCATTTTGATTTAAATACTGGCTAATGAGGATGGAATGTCTAGTTATATCAACGCTCAGCAAATAGAATTGCAGGCAGAGTTTAATGTTGTCAAGACTTGTCATGTTGCGATGCATGAATATTAACCCTCCGAGCGTCACTTGTCGAAAAATCGACTCACGACACACTTTGTGTAGTGTCACTTGTCGATTTTTCGACACACAAACATCGTTTACGGCGAAGGCTCTATGACTGACTGAATCGGATTGAACTGGTTTTGATATAATCCATTAAATATTTTATTGGTACCGTGATAGCAATATGTTACAGAACAGCTTTTCTAAACAGACAAATTAACAAATTTGAATCTTTGTCATTATTGGATACAAGGCCTAATTATTACTCAGGGAAAATATTCTTGTGGATTTAAAATAGAGATGATTTAATGAGACATGAATATATGGATATTTTTTAAATCAAAACATTTAGCACAAAAAAGAAAATGTAAAAACGAACCAATATAGACATAAACAGATATGCAATTATTTGAAATAATTAAGATTTTTAAAATTCTCATTGGTGTTAAAATAATTGAGTGTTTGTACTTATTATATGTTATTAAATTCTTGCATGGCTTGAAGATGTATGTTTGATCCTTCATGTTTGACTAACATGTGTCTTGTGTTGTAGCTCTAACATGCCTTAAGTCTGGACAACACTTCAGGTAAACCAATTTTTAATGACAGAATTATATTAGAAGTTTTAAAAACTATTTTTGTGTAAGTAAGTAATAAATGTTATAGCTATAGTGTACAACAATGTATAAGACTTGTTCATACTCTTTCTATTGCTTTTTGCTGCTGATCGCCTGTATCAAGATATATGTGGCATAGTAATTTTAGAGTGAAATGTTTGGATTAGTAACATACTGCATTTCTTATTTGCCATAAGTTAAAGATTCTAATTCAGTCATTGGAAGAATGAAATGTTACAATTTTATCTTGTTTGGTCTACACATTAACGGTTTTAAATATAATTTTCAAATTAATGGGTAATGTAGTATTATTTGGCTCTCTAACCCGTTGTGTACTACAAGATTTGATAATAATCGTCTAAAGCCTTTGATGAACGTGGACAAAAACCTTAATTATGTGTTAATTGTATTTTATTTTTTCTAGTAAAAAGGTATTTTAGGTTGTATTCTTAAGTATTATTTCATTATTAATGTTTTTAAATATTCTTAGTTAAAAGCAAAGTTTTCATTGATAAATAACACTACAAATATGTTGAATCGCTGTTGTACACATATGTTGCTTTCTACTATCTAAATGCTTTTGTTCGATGCTAGCACCAGCTCTTCAACTGTCTTTTCATATTTTGTTGCTTAAAACTTACCCATGTATTTTTTATAAAAAAAAGCTATTTTTCTTGACACTATCAATCATCTTATTTTGTTAATGTGGTGAGAAACATTTACTTTCTCTTCTCAGGTAAACACCTGTTTAGGTATTCTTTTATTGAACCTTCCTAACAGTAATTGTGTTTCCGTTTAGGATCATCCGAGTCCCGTGATCATGGCTCCCCTACACGTCGCCATAGCAATGCAGCTCTCAGCCTGGAGGAGGAGTCACACCGTCATGGTAGCGGGGCTACCGGAGCAGGCCGAGTCACTCCCCCAGCCACCACCATACCAAAGTTCCGCAAATACACTATGGAGGACTTCCAGTTCCTCAAGGTGCTCGGAAAAGGCAGCTTTGGGAAAGTAAGTGTAATTGATGTGTCTTACATGTTTGCGTGAAAAGCTCTGTGCTAAAATTGTGATTGTTAGAGCAAAGGGATAGAAGATAGCTTACCTTTAAAAAACCCCAAGTATTTCATTGTATACACAGAAGACCCCACATACAATGGTAGCACATACAATGTTTTGTCCCTGAAGGACTAGGATGGAAAACCTGCACTCAACACAAGAAATAAGCACAACTTCCTGCTAGATGCACACCACCTTAGCACTCAGTGTGAACAGAATCCCTTGTACTAGGGTGCCGTCTCTTACTAGCTAACAAAGGACCGGAAAAGATTACCAGAGAGGAATCTGAAGACAGCACTGTCAAATTTATGTTAAATGTCTACTGTGTTAATGTGTAAAAGTACCGTGTTGTAATGTTTTTAAGAAATTTGACGACATTCAATAAATGAAATTTAACGTTATTGTTTTGAAAATGACTACATAGTAGTCGAAACTAGTTAACAGAAGGTCGTCTGAGGAATTGTTTACGTCAAGGTGTGTAACCTGTTATAACATCATTAACTTTTTCAATGATCGCGGCCAAATCTTAAAAATGATTGTCGTGAAGACAGGATCATTGTCTTTCGCAGTAAAAAAGTATCATCGTTGTCCTCTGCGATCGCAGTGAAAGCATAAATTTCTTGATCCGGAAATCTTTGCAGATGTATTCTGTGATCGTGATGGTTTAAGCTTGACTCGACTCAGCCTATTTTATATCAAACACCCCATATTTTGTTAAAAATCCAATCTTTACCTTTTTCATAATCCAAATGTGTTTCAGTACCAACTTATTTGGATATTTGGTGTTTGACCGTAACTAGGTTAAGTCTTTACACAACACTAAACTCAATGTTTATGTGAATAAAGATTTATTGATTGACTTTGTCAAGTGTAAACTCTGATAATTTGTGGATTTGTTATTTTAATGAAGAACCGAGAAAATCAGACAGATCAAGTCTTCAAGATTTAGATCAAGAGCATTTTTTAAATTTGAAGCTACCCTATGATTGTTCTGCGAACACAGTTTATTGTTGTTTAGTTATTAGCCTTATAAGATTTGGTAAGATTATTATACCTATTTATTTACTCATAAGGTTAGAAATCAATTTTAGAACATAGTAGCAGCCAGCGTCATTTTGTGACTTAAAGGACCGTGATATATTTGAATTAATTTACAATATTTTCTAATTGTCATCATTATAATCACCAAATCCCTATTATTTGCATCGCGTGCCCTATTATTCTCCTTGTATGTGTGTGATCTTCTGCTCTTCGAAACATCTTATAAAAATTACAAATACTAATTAAACATACTATGAAAACACAAAATCTAACGTAAGTAGTTTTCTTCTTTACATTTTAAATTAATAACATTACAATATTTCACTTGAATTCACTCAACCACTATCTCAGGAAAATTAGTAAGTATTTCACTAAACAACTTGTTTGAAAATGTAAAAATTTATCATTGGCCTTTTACCCTTGCCAAGTAACTATGTTGGTTGAATAAAATAACTAGGAAAAAGTAAACAAAACACTTGTAGCTTGTGTTTATAACAAGCTATCCACAGTATACTAATAAATAAATTATAATATAATATAATAAATTACTAATGTTTAAAATATTAAATTACAAAATACAGTACAGCATACAACATGTGTGTGTTGTTGGTACATCATTTGGTTGTATCAATTGAGCAAAGACTACACTAAAGATTTGATTGTTTGTGGATGTTCTAAGTAATTGTATTTTAAAATTAGGGGAAGAATATGGTTGCAATTTTAGGAAAAGATAATTTTGGAGCCAACAAATATATTGGTGGACCCTGAGATCTATTGCAGGGAATGTGAATGTTACTGAAAAAAACTGATTTGGTAACTAAAAGTCTTAGCACTACACTGATGAGGAATTAATTGGCAGTAATAGATTTTGTCATATCAATATAACAATATTCCAAGTAAATCAACTACATCTGGGGGTTTAGTTGGCATAAAACTATCACAGTATGCTAAATCCCAATGAAAAAAGAGATAGGATCTCAATTTCTTTAGAAGTAGTAGCGCAAAAGTGAAAATCGTTGTGACAAGCAATTGAAACTAATATGATTTTGTTTATACTGTATGATATTTTTATCTGCTGTCATCGGTGAGTGTAAAAGTCGAACAATGGGTTTCAATGACTAGGGGAGAAACATTATATTCAAGTAGCACTTAAACTTAGTAAAGATAAAAAGTGTATCTTTTTTAAAAATACACTTTTTAAAATTGCATACTTTTACAGAGTACAACAATACAGGGTTGTTTCTTATTTCAACGATCAAATGTCTATGGTTTGTAATAAAAATGTTTTTCGTAAATTATAAAATGTTTGTACGATATTTTTTCAGCGATTAAACCCAATCAAACAATTCACCCAATTAACCGAGCAAGGCTTGGTCCCCCGGTACTAGATTACTGAACTTGATGCTGTTTTCTGGCAGGTATTGCTCGCAGAGCTTCGCGGCACTCAGTATTACTACGCTGTGAAGTGCCTCAAGAAAGACGTGGTGTTGGAAGATGATGATGTTGAGTGCACTTTGATTGAGCGCAAAGTCTTGGCATTGGGGACCAACCACCCTTACCTCTGCCATCTCTTCTGCACTTTCCAGACTGAGGTCAGGACCTTACTAAAGATCAGTTCAAGTTTAGGTGTTCAGTGTTTAGTTTATGAGTTGATTGATTTATATCAACTTTATAGGATGCTGATCCTTAACGCTGATTATAGTAAGACTCATTTATTGAAAAGTCCAATGATTAATGACAAGTGGGTCAAATTTTAATCCTTCAATTAAGAAATAGTATAGTGTAGTACAGGTCCATCCACTGTCAATTAAAAGTACGATTGAACCCTTTTGTTGTTTTTCTTAGTAGGCCTAGTCCAGATGAATGTCACTTTTTATGACAATAATAGGTTTTTTACATACCTCAGTCAAATAGTCCAAAAATGGTATTGCTCAACAGCTTACATGTTTCGTTGCGAAGACAACATTATCAAAGCTTGCAACTCGTCAAAAACACACACGAGTTGCAAGCTTTGATAATGTTGTCTTCGCAACGAAACATGTAAGCTGTTGAGCAATACCATTTTTGGACTATTTGACTGAGGTATGTAAAAAACCTATTATTGTCTTAACAATATAGTCCAGGGGCCGAAAACATGAATTTTGATTCACTTTTTATGTTTGTAAGAATAAAAGATGTCTTCTTGCACTATTAAAACCTGTACACTTCTACTGAAAATATTTATGAGAGTCGTTTTGATTGGACTTGAAGACTGGTCAAAACCTATCAGTTAAACGTATTTGATTCATACTATAGATTTAACGTCTATAGCATTATAGGAAGGTTTAGATGACCAATGTTCTAAAACAATCAATGTCCAGTTAGATCAATGTAAAAGGAGATTTTTAGTAGATCAATAACTTGTAGAGTTCGAAACACATCATTAGATCATTCCCATTTACCCATTGGGACTTATACCAGCTGGTTCAAGGGAAATAACAATGTGTTATTTTGTCTGTAGAGCTTATCGGATATCACAGAGTTTGGTCCTAAAATTAATTAACACCAATATTGAAATGTTTGCCTTAGAGACAGTTTACCAAGACCAAGGCCACAGTTTTATGTTTTGTTCAGATTTAGATTAGATTTAGATTGTCAACACACAACCTGACTGAATTATGAGTGTTGAATAAATGAAATGTAGGATTGTTACTGACTAAGATCATCTGTTTGTTTGGTCAGTACCATTTATTACTAAGACAGCACAGCTGGGTCCAGTTTTAAACCATAACAAACAATTAACCTTTCTCAGAATCGAACGGGCAAGCTTCTGTTTAGTAAAAGAGCTTTATAACTGCAAAGTAGCTGATTGTTTCAATGTTTACTGTCATAACATATCTGGTATTCATCTTACAAATCCTTGTGATTTACAGTCGCACCTGTTCTTTGTCATGGAGTACCTCAACGGAGGTGATCTCATGTTCCATATCCAACAGCAAGGGAGGTTTGATGAAGGCAGAGCCAGATTTTATGCAGCTGAAATAGTTTCTGGTCTCAAGTTTCTACACAAGAAAGGAATCGTTTACAGGTAATAACTTGGGATGCATTGCACGACGTCCAATAATATTATTCAGAGTCACGACGTCCAAAATATAATTTTTAAGCTGTTGCACGACATCCAATATAATATATTTGACTGTTGCACGATGTCCAAGTGCCACGATGTCCAAATGTACAGTAACTTAAAAAAATAGTCTTTCTACAAGCCCTGGACGTCATGGGATTGGTCGTCGTGTAACAGCACACTTTATATTCTTTGAAAAAAGTAGCAGTTGTTGCACGACTTTCAAAGCCCCTGCTATGTCTGCTGCACGGCGTCCAATAGCTCAGCGCTATTGCATGACGTCCAAAGCGAATACACACTGTGAGTACTGTTTTACCGTTTTTATTGTACTTACCTAACCTAGCCTAACTTAACCTAATCTAACCATGTATGCAGGAGCTTTAGACGTCATGCAACAGTGCTGAGTTATTGGTTGTCATGCAACTGGCTTAGCAGAGCTTTGGACGTGGTGCTAATGCTAAGATTTTTGACGTCCAATCTCATGTCGTCCAAAGCTTGTAGAAAGACTATATTTGTTGAAGTTACTGTACTTTTGGACGTTGTGGCACTGAATAATATCATTGGATGTCGTGGTACTTGGACGTCATCCAACACTTCCATAAATTTAGGACCTTTGTTGTGTGGTGCTCTGCTTTGTCCTGATTCTAACAAGTCACCAGAACCTTGCGTTCTTGTGTAAGATCCAACAGCTCAGCATTGTTTGGGTTAGAAAACTAAGCACACTTTTTACACACCAGAGTATATCTGGACATTTTACAATGCTTAAATTGTACTCAGTGTTTGCAAAATATGGGGTTTTACTATTTCATGTTAGGCAGTACTCTGGCTGCGTCAGATCCAAAGTGTCAACCGTTCAACACGTACCAAGCAACCTTGAGAATAAATATGACATTTTAAGGACTTTTGAACGTTGACGATATACTTACAACTTTGACTGAGCTGTGCCATTTCCAGAGACCTGAAGCTGGACAACATCCTGTTGGACTTTGATGGCCACGTGAGGATTGCAGATTTTGGCATGTGTAAGCTGCAGATATACCTGGACAGGACGGCCGACACGTTTTGTGGCACGCCTGACTATATGGCACCTGAGGTACGGAAGTTTAGATTCTTAGCTTTTAAATTGTTTGTTAATAATATAGTGTAAGAACCAACAGTATGTAGGTAGTTATGATTTGAAAAATTGACTCTAAAGTGTTTTAAGAAAATTATATAAGCATACAATATTGCTCAGGGGACTCAAAATTAATTCAGGATATAAAAACCTAGGATTTTAAATGGTCATTGCTTGGGGACTGTTCAAGAAAACTAATAAACTATATAAATGATGAACTGGAGTTGAAATAACATAATAATAATAAGTTTTGTTTTCCGATGTAAAGGGAGGAAATTTTGACCTTGACATGCGCAAAACAGATACACAGTGACAGGCCGCAGTTTTGACTCACACACCTGACGCCAGTCGCCAGTTAAGAGTTACGATGTTAACAGCACATTAAAAGGCACAGTGTGTTCTGTGGTTTGCGGAGTTTAAATTGATTGTTAGGTTGCAGTGTCGGTTTTGAGTTTTGTATTGAGGGCAAAATTCACCCGATGATAAATAAATTTGCTGGTTTAACCAGTTTTGTAACACAGGAAGTTTTTTGGAAGTACATTCACCTGGCCAGCCAAAAACAAGTGATGACAAAGTCGATGAAATCTGACAAACCTGCATCAGAGGCATGAAAAAATTGATTGCCCGACAAAGTCTGCAGTTAAACATACCTAAATCGACACTTTGTGATGTTCTTGTAAAATATTGAGACCTAATCACCCTAAGCATACAGATTTTGCCAGTTATATGCTCAATAATATTGAAGACAACCAGAACTTAAGGTACTCCTCAATTTGACTATTAAATCGCTTAATTATCTTCTATCGTCAATGGGTGTGTTAGTCTAGTGGTTAGCGTCTCGGACTTCGGTGCGGGAGGGACGGGTTCAATTCCCGGCACATCCACAAAACATATTGGGTTTGGACCGCTTTCCCAAAAAGCGTTTGAATAACACGAACAGTCTCTGTTACATCACCTCTGAAAAAGGCCACTAGCTGTAACTCTATAACACACAATAATAAAAGTCCCCAAGCAACGGCTGTAACTCTAGACCTTTCAGCTTGACATAACATTCTCATTGTGATGTTTGTCACCAGATCTTGAAGGGACTGAAGTACAACCAGTGTGTGGACTGGTGGTCGTTTGGTATCCTGATGTATGAGATGTTGGTGGGAGAGAGTCCCTTCAGTGGGTGTGACGAGGATGACTTGTTCTGGTGTATCTGCAACCGTCAGCCGCACTACCCTCGCTTCATCACACTGGAGGCTAAGCGCATTCTAATGCAGGTTTGTGGCTTACTGTTATTGTCCTAGTATTGTTTATCAGTGATTGGGCAGTGTACAGCATGTGATCGGTTTTATCAACATTAAAATCTCCAGTGATTGCCTTCAAATTAGGAGCATCTACTGTGTTTGTAGTAAAATCTTGATTATATCTTGCATAGTCAATAGTCATTGAAACGTCATAAAATGTTGATTGCACTAATCTTGGAAACAGCTTTAAGATCACTATAATGTAGAGAGATTCCTGTCTTGAAATTATTGATTATGAAATACCGCCAGTGAAATAAGAAATAAAGTTAAAAATATTTTTATAGCTATAATATAAGACTTGTTTATTATTATTTCCATTTTTCATGCACCAATCACATTTTTTAAAAGGTCCAAACACTGTTCTTGCTACTACTGTATGTAAAATCAACTTGTTGTTATAAAGTATAATCATGGTCAAAAAGAATTTAATATAGACATACAGCAGTGCTGCGGTTAGCATGCCAACCCCGTACGAAGGAAGGGTACTCTGCTAGTTGTATATGTAATTAAAAAATTGTTATGAATAATTATTCAATAAACCTTTTAGCAAATTCAAACCCCTTTTAAAAAATTGTTGTGTATCTTAATGTGTAGTGTACAGGGTGTCTAGTAGTTTAAACCCAAATTGGCTAGTTAGATTTGTTCATTGCTGCACTATCATTTTCTTAATTTAAAAGTTAAAAACATCCCATTATCTTAAAAAGACTTAATATCATAAAGACAGGGGTTGGTGTAGTTTAACCAAATTATTTCAAACATTTGGTAAAATTATAAAAATAATTTATCGGTATCAAGAATTGAGAATAGATTTTTTCAGGTCTCGGTATCGATAATCGATAAATTTTGGTATCGACCCATCACTAATAATTGTTGAAAAAACTAGTCTTGAAAAGTCTGGAATTAGTCTTGAGTTTTAAAATAAAATGGAAATAAACTAGACACCCTGAGTGTAATTTCTGACCAGAACTTGTTTGTTCATCAGTTGCTAGAGAAGGAGGCCAGCAAGAGACTAGGGTCTTGTGAGAACGGAGCTCTGGAGGTGATGGCTCATCCGTTCTTCAACGGGTTGGACTGGGATAGACTCGAGCGCAGGGAACTTGTGCCTCCCTTCAAGCCTAATGTCGTAAGTGCACCTTGATATATTGTGTGTCAATTTCATCCCGATTTTGACAGAAAATACTCTGTAATTAATTTCAGTAACATCATAATCATCAATTATCAATCATTGAGATGGGAATGCCAGCGAGGTGCGTATTTTGGATCTGTGTAGCTTTGTTTTATTAGCCAGGATCATTGATTTAAAGCCCAATAATCAGGGACACCTGTCTCCAGTTTCGAACCTTCAAAAAGCTACAGTAGACTCTCGCTCATCCAGATCGGCCTTGTCCGGACTCCCGGTAGTCCGGATCGGCAATCGTGATTTTTTTAGCGGCACAGTACAGTAGAAGTCCGATTATCCAACCGAAACGGGACTGAGACTACCTTGAATAATGAAAAAAATCGGATAACACGACGGTAAAAATTATTACCAGTGGAAGTGCATATGCCCGGGCTATCATTACTTTGGACCTGGAACAAAATTCGGACCAAAAATTACACCGGCGGAAGTGCATATGCCCGGGCTATCATTACTGTGGACCTGGAACGAAATTCGGCCGAAACAACTATTACCGGTGGAAGTGCATATGCCCGGCTATCATTACTGTGGACCTGGAACTAAATTGAAAAACGGCTATATACAGTACAGTACTGTGTATTTGCTCGACTCTCGATAGTCTGTATTTTTCGTAATCCGGACCGGAAGTTTGCCACATTAGTCCGGATGAGCGAGAGTCTACTGTACTACTATCTAATGCCGGATCACATTGTGATCTGGCATTCCTCCAAACAGGTCCGCGGAATTGGCTAACTCTGGAACTCGCTAACCCCATGTTAAACGCCCTATCTTCAAATTTGGTCGATGAGAGGAACTCGCTAACTTGTTCGGTTTCGGAATTGTCTAACTCCGGAACCCGCTAACCCGCTCTAGAGCCGGGTTAGCGAATTCCGTCCTCGTACGGAAGTGGCTAACTCGGCCCCTCGGCGGAACTCGCTAACTCCCAATCAGAAGCCTCGCGTGCTGTCCAATAGGAGTCAAGCACGAATATTTTTGACCAGTGTTGCCGAAAGTGTAGTACCTACGATCGTATCGGTACCATAATGTCGTATCCTACGAATAATTAGGAGTAAGAGCAACGTAGTCGATAAAATAAATATATTTAGAAGTATGAGGTTAAGGGTGTAGCATAGAGCACAAGGGCCTAGATTTTTTAGGATTTTTTGAGAGGATAGCAGGCTTACCTGAATGGGAAAGAGTCCAAACTGGCACAGGAAACACAAAACAAAACTTTACACTATATACACAAAACATTAGAATATTTCACTGTCACTGACAGCATTTTCAACTAAGGAAGAGGAAGAGATAGTTTTCTAGATGTCCAAAATGGTGGCCAGTGATTTGTTGAGTCAGTGTTGCCAATAGTATGAATTCAAAAAACACAGTTTCAGTTTATCTTTTATGCACTATATATACAGGGTGACAAAAAAGTCTGGAAACGGCTTGATATCTTTTTAACTAAATTCGTTAGAAAATTCAAACCTTTCACATCAACTTATATGCATGAAAACTACTTTTTGCAAGTATTACCATTTTTTTACCTTCACCAGGGGACGGCCCATGAGGAGTAGGTACATAATCTTTAATGTAAGCATAGGTTGATATGCACATCATTTTAAAGGTCTGGTGTAGTGGAGTTCATTGCCGGAAACCGCGTCAAAAAAGGTTCATTCGTTACAAAATGGCGGCATTTCAAAGTTCTTGCGGAATATACCTGCACAGGCCTTAGTAATGGTAAATACTCATAGTCAAAATTAGCCGGGAAATCTGAAACCCGGTTAAATTTGTTTTGAAGATTGAATAAACGTAGTATATGGACTAGTTGACTTTAAAATACAGTTTCTGCTCTCAAGATAATGTTTAATACGAGTATTTACCAATATTAAGGCCTGTAAAGGTATATTCCACAAGAACTTTGAAATGCCGCCATTTTGTAACGAACGAACCTTTTGAGATGCGGTTTCCGGCAATGAACTCCACTCCACCAGAACTTTAAAATGATGTGCATATCAACCTATGCTTACATTAAAGATTATGTACCTACTCCTCATGGGCCGTCCCCTGGTGAAGGTAAAAACATGAAAAAGCTTGGAAAAAGTAGTTTTTATACATGTAAGTTGATGTGAAAAGTTTGACTTTTCTAACGGATTTAGTTAAAAAGATATTAAGCCGTTTCCAGACTTTTTTGTCACCCTGTATATGAATAAATATGTAAGCCTGCTAGTTGGGTTGGATATTGAAGTGGAGTGGGTTAGATTAAATAGGCGCCTTAAAATAAGAAAAAAAATAGCAAAACCTAGAAACAATTAGAACACAAATGAAACCATTGTTATTCGATAGTGAAAAGTATTGTGAATAACATATCAAAAGTCTCCAAAAATATCTTTGGTGGAACACCACCATTTTTCCAAAATGGCGGCCAAATCCAGTAGTTTTTTGCTTTTTATTGAAATTCTGACTTTCCAGTCAATATTGGTGAAAAGTCGTAAATACATTTTATTTTCCTCCTGAAATTACCTTTAAAATGATACCAAATACATGTACGTACAACCAAAAATAAACCCCATAGAAATAATAAAATATTTCAAATAATAATATTTTGTATAAATTAACGTAGTCCAAGCAAACTAAGATTTCTGATAGGGTTAGTGTAAAAAATTGCAAGTAAACGTTTTATGGTTTTATTTTTATTGTTGGGTGTGCAGAGTGACATACTAAAAGTTGCCAAAAATTAGTCCTCGGGAAACCCGTGAAATAATGATAAAATATGGCGGCTTTTCCCAACATTGGACAAATTTTGAAAAATATGCAACATGCTTTTTTGCAAATTGTTTCGAGATATTAAGTTAGGACCACCAGCAATATTTATTGTGTAGTCAGTACTTCATTTCGATAGGGAACGCGTTTTTGGCCGCCATCTTGGATCCGCCATATTGGATATAAATATTTTTTAATGTAATTATAGTGTTGTGACACATTATTATGAACTAGATTTCCACGCTGATTTCAATGCTTAAATCCGTTTTTAAATAAGTTTTTTTTTCGTTTCTAAAGATATATTAAAACGAAAACTCTCCCCTATACATTACTTATGGATGTATCGTACTTTGAAAATGTGTTTAGATTATTTTTCTCCAGGTCTTATTAATGCTTGCAGTTCGTTCTAGCCTTAAAATATTCAGTGATCTAAGAGTATTTTTCTCCAGGTATTATTGATGCTTGCAGTTCGTTCTAGCCTTAAAATATTCAGTGATGTAAGAGTTTTCATTTTAGCTATTTATAGTTAAACAGACTATTTGGAGACGAGGTACAAATCCCAACATAATATTAAATTACCCTTTTTTTTAAAAGTTTTTGTTAAAATATTTATATCTCGGGTTGTTAATATGTCAACAAGTTCGTTCTGGTATCAAACTACTCAGTAAATGTTTGGCTTTAATTTTATTGATCATTAATTGACACCTGATAAATTTAAAACGGATCATTTAGGCCTACCTTCAATGAACATTCAAATATTGTTATTTGTCTTTAGTTAAAGACATATATCCCCAATTCTAAATAACTCCCAATAAGGAATCCATCGCTAAAATATAAGTCAATATTTAACGAATAGCTATGAGGAGTTTTTCCCGTTTTCACTCTGCAAAACACTACAAAATAAAACTATAAAACATAAAACATCGTCCATAAGCAATGTATGGGGGAGAGTTTTCGTTTTTATACGTCTTAAAATCGAAAATAGCTAGGCCTATTTAAAAACAGATTTCAGCATTGAAATCTAGTTCATAATGATGAGTCACAACACTATAATTACATTAAATAATATTTATATCCAATATGGCAGATCCAAGATGGCTGCCCAAAAAGCACCCCCTATCGAAATTAAGTACAGACTATCCAATAAATATCGGCGGTGGCCCCAAGTCAATATATCGAAAAATGTGCAAAAAAAGCATTCGGTATCTTTTTTTGCAAAATTTTTCCAATATTGGGAAAAGCCGCCATTTTATATAATTAATTTAGGGGTTTCCCATGGACTGATTTTTTGCAACTTTTGGTATGTCACTCTGCACACCACAACAATAAAATAAAACCATAAAACGTTTACTTGCAATTTTTTACACTAACCCTATCAGAAATCTTAGTTTGCTTGGACTACGTTAATTAAAAAAAAATATTATTATTTGAAATATTTTATTATTTCTACGGGGTTTATTTTTGGTTGTACGTACATGTATTTGGTATCATTTTAAAGGTAATTTCAGGAGGAAAATAAAATGTATTTACGACTTTTCACCAATATTGACTGGAAAATCAGAATTTCAATAAAAAGCAAAAAACTACTGGATTTGGCCGCCATTTTGGAAAAATGATGGTGTTCCACCAAAGATATTTTTGGAGACTTTTGATATGTTATTCACAATACTTTTCACTATTGAATAACAATGGTTTCATTTGTGTTGTAATTATTTCTAGGTCAAACCATATATTCAGGGGCCTAAAAGGTATTATCTCAGGTTTAGGTTTGGGGGTTGTCTAGACTTAGTAAACCATTGATAAGACAATTCCCATCTTCTCAGTTGTGACTGGTTACATTGAGGGGGCAGTGATTTGACTATTTTGGTTGTAAAGCAGTCATTGAAACTAGGGTTGGTGTGGCTCTGGGCATGTTGTACAACTGGTTTGTCTTTGTATCCAGTAGATACATCTTGTCTATGGCCATTCATCCTGGTTCTGAGGCTATTGGTGGATAGGCCTACATACTGTGCCTCACATTTGTTACATTGTAGTTGGTAGATAATGTTCTTCGTTTCACAAGTGTTGAAGCCTCGGATGTTGTAGTTTTCTTTGGTTGTGGAACTGGAAAATGTTTGGCTGGGTTGATTTATTTCACATGTTTTACATCTCTTGTTAACACTTGTGAAACGAAGAACATTATCTACCAACTACAATGTAACAAATGTGAGGCACAGTATGTAGGCCTATCCACCAATAGCCTCAGAACCAGGATGAATGGCCATAGACAAGATGTATCTACTGGATACAAAGACAAACCAGTTGTACAACATGCCCAGAGCCACAACAACCCTAGTTTCAATGACTGCTTTACAACCAAAATAGTCAAATCACTGCCCCCTCAATGTAACCAGTCACAACTGAGAAGATGGGAATTGTCTTATCAATGGTTTACTAAGTCTAGACAACCCCCAAACCTAAACCTGAGATAATACCTTTAATCTAACCCACTCCACTTCAATATCCAACCCAACTAGCAGGCTTACATATTTATTCATATATATATAGTGCATAAAAGATAAACTGAAACTGTGTTTTTTGAATTCATACTATTGGCAACACTGACTCAACAACTCACTGGCCACCATTTTGGACATCTAGAAAACTATCTCTTCCTCTTCCTTAGTTGAAAATGCTGTCAGTGACAGTGAAATATTCTAATGTTTTGTGTATATAGTGTAAAGTTTTGTTTTGTGTTTCCTGTGCCAGTTTGGACTCTTTCCCATTCAGGTAAGCCTGCTATCCTCTCAAAAAATCCTAAAAAATATTTAGAAGTATGTTTAATATTATTCTTCTGATTATTAGGGTAGAAAATGCATTATAGTCTTGGCATAGACTAACCAACACAAGTAAACTTTACATCCCATTGTAACCTTTGAAGCTCGTTTTCGTGCCTAGTTCATGTCCGGTGACACTGATCGCTAGTGTCGACGAAATTGTGTTTCTATTATTTTATAGTTAACTTCATGATTTGTTCTTTCCTGTTTGGTTATATAACTAGGGGACGTGTTATTAGTTATGATTAGATTGTTTTATTTGGTTAAACGAGATTTTTAATGACTGAAAACAAGAAACAATTGTAAACAAAACACGATCTCTAAAGACAGTGCACCGGACAGAACAATAAAACTGACTTCAGCTGATCTATAAGGATGAGAAATGTACTAATATAAGGGAGTATGTTTTACACATGGTTTTCTTACTTAAATAGTAGTTTATTGGGATGCAAAAAGATAGTACTGTACATTTAATTTGGATCTTTTACATGTTATGAAATATCTATTCTCATAGTCCACCATTTGTTTCTTTTATTGGAATAAATACCATTTTGTGAACTTCTTCAAATAAAACTATTAAGTTTGTATTTTGTATACTGGGCTTGTAACCTTGAATGCTTGTCCTTGATAGGTTATAATATTTGACTCTTTAAAGGCCTATTATATCTGTCGTGCGAGTGTTAACAATAGTTTGGTTCTTCTTAATATTTCTGTATTATTACCGAAATATTTCCGAATCATAGTATTGGTAAACAAATAAAAATAGTTTCGGTATTTTTCTATATCAGGCACATGATTTACCTAGGTAGGCTACATTAATTAATAATAACGCAAATCAAAAACGTTAACAATGTATTACAATATTTGCGTCTTTACTTTAGTCAAGAAAAGGAATTTAAATTTTCTTACATTATGTTGTTAGGAAACATATAATCTATTAACAAAAATTGAAGCAGTATTGTAATAGTCTATCCTATTCGATGCAACCAACAAATAGACATTTAAAAAAAAAATCCTTCAGTAATTGCCGTAGACTTTGTATGCCTAGAATTTTGAGGATTACCTTCCCGATAAAATTTACACGTTAAACGTCATTACAGAAATACATTGTAGTGCTAATATCTTTTTAAATAGAGCTATTGAATTTAAATAAATATTGATCAATACATTATAAAGTGGTAATGTATTCATGGATTGCATTAAAAATTTGTCTATTCATAAATACAATTTGTAAATTTATGTTATCGTAGGCTATTAGTGTAGAACCCGGGTTATCCTCTTAATTAATATTAATTTTACGTCTAAAGTCTGCAGTTTTTATGGTTCTAAAATCTAAATGGACCCAGGCGTTCTTGTTTGTTACCATTTTTATGAATGGTGGCCATAGCTAAAATTACCTGATCTTATCCAACAACAAAGCTATTGTATATTGAGTGGCTCACTACCGGGAAACGGGGAACCGAGCATGGCTTGGTGTAGTTTATTTCGATTGTAAAAGCAATATAAAGGAATCCCAACACTAAAATCAGGAACATCCGTCAAGTCTTTGATTAAGAATCGTGAATTAAAATAACCCTGTCACGTTTTAATATAAGAATATTATAACTTCTCCTATTATTTATACTAGTGGGGCTTAGGTGTACAATCTAAAAACTGTTTTAAAACATGTAACATTATTACTAAAAAATTCAACTCATTTTAGAACTAGGCAACTATTTACTAATAGGCCTACAATGCTTTGGTTTAAACTATTAGGCCTAGATTTAGACCTACAGCTGTTCTATAAATTGATATGAAACGTAGTCTATGTCATATTATTACACGTAAGTTGAACGATTCAACGACAAACCTTTAATTTTAAATCTATGAATTAGTTATGAAAGTTACGATGGTTGATGATTGTATTAATTAATGGTTTTTGTTCATTACGACATTAGGATATATTTGTTTACTGTGTTTCAGAACTTCCGTGTATTTTGGCTTAGTTTCGTAAAGGTTCAATTGTTTAGTAGGTACCAATTAAACTGAATGTTCAATGTTTTCATATTATTTTCTTATAATACTTATGGCATTTATATAAGATCGAAATCACAAACTTATTTTATTATTTAAGTTATTTTGACAATTGCAATGCATGTTATATCATGTTAAAGGCAATAAAGACATTTCATTTCATTTCATTGGCCGTTGTACAGTTAAATAAAAAACCTCTTTTCATGATTTTTTAAATTGCATTTTAATTACTTTGGGCTAGTTAGCTGTTAAAAGTAGAATGTATAGCAAAAAAATAACATTTACTGCATCTTCATTGATACTGACATTTTGAAATACGGCAGTGTACGGTTATTTCGCCGTACAAGGTTGGCAACGCTCCGTGCAGTGGGCGCTGCCGGGTTAGCGACTTCCAGAGTTAGCGAATTCCGCCGCGAGACAAAATCGAGTTAGCGGGTTCCGGAGTTAGCCAATTCCTGACTGAGACGGTTAGACGGTTCCTGAGTTAGCCAGTTCCAACACACGACCGAGTTAGCGAGTTCCTGAGTTAGCCAATTCCTATGAGCCTCCAAACTGGCTAACCTTAATGGTTTAGGAATATTTTATTAATGACCATTGACGTTGTGCTCACATACGAGCAAAAGCATTCTCCTTTATTATGAACCTATTATCACTTTGTAATTCCCTTAATCATCAGAGTTAGGATATGTTGTAATTCATATTAAGCTAACTGGTGAAAATCAAATATCAGCCAAATCATAATTTTAACAAGTAAATCCTACCTTGTTTTCAGAAGCACCCTTTGGATGTTCACTATTTTGACAAACACTTCACGGCCGAGCGAGCTTGTCTTACGCCGATCGATCCTTCCATTCTGCAATCGATGGATCAAACGCAGTTCCAAGGGTTCAGCTACACCAATCCCAATGTCACCGACTAGTCCAATTGATTGGTAAACAAACATGAACACTTACATACACACACATCACTACCTAGATGTCTAATGTAACAGTATAAAGTACCGTAGTCAAAAATGTTTAGTCAAGTTGTTTAGGTGTATCGGTATAGGAATGTCTTTTTAAGCTTAAAGTTGAAGGAGCAATCATTACCATTGTACTATCTATAGTTCTGTTACTTTTAACTGTATAACATGGTGTGTTGAGTCGAAGAAGTTGGAAGGTTGAAGTCTTACGAAGGGTACCAAATGACTTCAGGGTTCTTGGAGATAATAACCAATTTACTTTGTTAATGGTTTAGGATTTAAAATCTTTGCTAGTCTGAAAAAAATGGTTGAATATCATTTGACACTGTCAATCTTATGTCTGGTGTTATTTTCTGTAAAGTCGTTGAAACTTGGATTTTGTTTGTACCTTAACTTGCCAATTAAGTATCTTTGAAAACCACATTTATTTATTTATCTGTGAAGAGTCAAAACTTTGCCTCGTTGATATTAACGTAGCATTACTTAAATGATACTCAATCTAGTCAGTTGAGCTGTAAAATCTTTTGAAATTGTATATTTTAACTGTGGAAATTAACATTATTAATTGTTTGTGAAAATATAGCATTACCTCATACCTAGTCATCTATAATTTGTAATATTACTTAATGATCAAATTACATTTTATTTATTACTAGGAAAACTAGGTTTTAGAAAAGTAATGCTTGCATTAGACATGAGTTAATTAATTTTTAATTTTTATTAGTCATAAATTATTTATACCAGGTGGTTTTAAGCGTTGAAAATTTGAATGAAATATAAACTTGGATTTTGATTTTGTAGTATATGTACTCACTAAAATTAGAATAATACATGTAAATTAACAAAAATAATAATGTGTATATAGCCATAGAGTAGAATAGTAATTTTTGTACGTTTATTTTTGTGGTTTGCTTATTAATATTTTTATAACCAGCTATGGTAAAATGTTGTCAAAGGTGATTAAAAACATTAACAGTTTTTTTTTTACTGTTTGCTTTTTCAGAAAGAGAAAAAGTTGCCGTTACGTTGAGAAACCGTTACAAAGATAATTTTACCCAGCAAGTCATACAACAAATATTGATTGTGATGCAATTTTGCTATATGGTTTTATGTAACATATGTGTCACAGTAATTAACGGATAGTCCTTTTCTGTTTAAACGCAAATAGTCAATGACGCAACCCTTCCCCATTGCTCTTACTTCCTTCCGAAAGTTAAGGCATAGGTAACATTTGTTTTTCCAATTTTCGTAAAAAAAAAACTTCAACAGGAAAGGATTGTTTTGTTTCTCCTGCAAACTTAAATATGTTCTTCTGTGCATGTCTCACTCCGTGTTTTGTTAAAAAAAAAGTATTAAGAGGTCTTAAAAAGTAAGATTTAGTAAACATTCAAATCAATTTGGTTTGACTAATGTGTATGATTAAAGAATTTACCATGTTGTAGGTTTTTAACAAAATGAGTTTTGATGGTCTCAGAATTTTAACAAACAACCAAATGTTATCTTAAACATCGATAAATGTTATAAGCGGTTGTTTAGTTACACAACAATAGTTGTTTTAATGTTCCTTGATTTTAGTTGTATATACTGTAGTGTTATAGATTAACAATTGCATTAAAATGTGTACTTGCCTATTTTAGATATATTTTATATGTTTTAGTGTTTATTTTTTGATAGCTTGAAAATGTGTTGTTATGATAGATTAAGTTAAATAAATGATTTTGTTTTGCAATCTGAGGTGTTTATTACCTACGTAATTATCTTGTACATATTTGACTTGAAGCACTTAAGTTTGAGACAAGCGAAGGGGCTGTTGATCCTAATAATGATGACAGTTAAAGTGAGGTTAAATAACATTATTTTATCTCAAGACAATTGCTTGCGTTTGTGTTGTGTGTATGAAGATCCTGGTCAATATCCATAAAGAAAGAAACTTGTGATAGTTTGGTCACATATCCACACACATCATAATAAAGTAGAAAACCACAGGATAAAGTAAGACAAGTTTTATTCTTGACTAGAATGAATAAATTTACTTCTCATACTCTCACATTTACATACAGAAGTCATGACTATTTTCAATGATGGGGTATAAAAGTCCAGAGCATCAATGTGCTCATTAGGTCTTCAAAACCAAAATGATAGATTACTGCCTGTGCTGGAGGGGAGTCCTTGTTTTTTGTTAATCGTAAGAATGGACTCTTACCCATTTAGGTAATTTTGCTTTCCCAACCAAAACCCTTTATATAAGTCCTTGTAGCCCATTTGTCATTCTCAACTATCTTACTTTCCTCATGAGTGCTTTATTTATGTCTCCAAACTATAATCAAGACTGTGAAACTGTTGGTTAGCAAAAATTAGCAATTTAGAGAGAGAGTCAGTAGCTGTTCAGTAATTTGTTGTTAAAATTCAACTTTGCTTTTTGAATTGTTAATGTTTATTATGAACAATTTCTACTAACCATCATGGGTGAATTTCACAGGCAACACGTTCCCGCACCACAATCTGACTCCTGGAATATACTAGTATGTCTGACAATCATCGCTCCAGCAGGAGCAGGCTGATCTAGTGGCAGAGCGCAAGACTTTGGTTCCTGTGGTCCCAGGTTCAAACCCTGCCAATCACTAATCAATTTCATCACTGGCCCAGCCTGGAGTAATTTGTACACCAGATCCGGGTTGGAGCCTAGCATCCTAGGATGTCAGCTTGGCAAAACAAAACACCTCATGATACCAACACAACTACACTCAGCACTACGTCAAAGGTCTCAGTTGAGGTAAGGTATTGAGTAAATGTCTGGCATTTTTTCCACTTTTATAGGCCCAGCAGTAGGTACCACTTTGGTATCTTTGGAGAAGAATGGTTTCAGGTCCAGGTTGATTTCTGGTCGAGGTTGATTCTCATATTCATGCTTTAGCTGTTCAAGCTCGTCCCTAAAAGAAATTGGGAAGAGTAAGGATATATTTTACCCACCAAGTCTGAAACTACAAAAATTATTCTTTCTCGTTTTGTAAAAAAAAACCATTCTACTGACAGTTACAAGTAAGCATAAGTAGCCTATTTTATACATTATGTTAATTTGCAAGATCAAAACTAATAGCTTACTTGCAGACATTCGAATAGTTAAAGTATAAATTATTAATAGTATCAGCAATTATTTTCTTGAATATTACTGTGAAATAAATAATTGTGTTTTAATGGACTATCCTAAATAAACATATTAGATTAACCCTGACATAAAAATTAAGTCTTCTAATCTGCTTTTTAGTTAAATTATTTCAAATAAAGACTCCTCAATGCAAATCAATAAAAATATATAATGTTACATGTATGGTAAAAAAATTATAAAAGTAATAATAAATTCCTTTAGAGGCTTGTATTAAACTATTTTCTAGAAAACTGAAACTCACATACATTTTTTAATAATTGTGAAAAAAATTTATGTAAGAACTCCACATTTAAATCACCTTTAGGAACAAATTCAATTCTACTCCGATGCATTTGACAAACCTGTTTCTGTAGAGCATGCAGCATGATCGCATTGTAAAGTAATACACAATTTCAACTCCACTGAGCAAACTGAACCCCAAGAAGAGACCAGCGATCCCTCCAAATGAAACTGAAATTAGCATTACAAAAAGGTTAGTATTTAAAAAATTTAATTCACTTAAGAAGCCAAATATAGCTTATCTGTCACTGTTTTAGTAGCCATTTAGTTTTACATTTGTTTGATAGGTAACTCTGAAGTTTATAGTCAAGAAATTTAACATGTTAAAAAAATAAAATCTAGATCAATGCATGTTTAGGAGACCCATTAAAATAAACAGACAAGACAGCTTGGGTGGAGGATGGCTCGTGTATGATTTGAAGTCAAATAAGGGATTTTACTAATTTGATTATCCTTACAGTTGTGCGAGTTCACCAAAAACTTTTTACATTTAAAAATGGTTTGAATTGAAACAGCATATTTGTTTACTTTGTATCAGTGCCCATTTATTTTAGTAAAGAAAATGCAGGGCCCCTTTAATCAATTGACCTGGCCCGGTAGGCCTAGGCCCACAAGCGCGAGGGGATTTAGGTTTGTTGGGGGTGCAAAAAAGAGAAAAACTCCTCCACAAGATTGAGGGGGTGCAATTATCCCTTTGGCCCATAGCGTGTCAAATGAGAACCACGGGCCTGGTAAAGTTTTTTTTAATTTTGATTAAAAGGGGTGAAAGTGTTATGAACCAAAGCTCAAAGCTAATTTGTTGAACTAGTGTTGTGTTTTGTTGTTAAAATTGATAATCCTTAGTTAATTCATTTTAAAACATGCAATAACAAGTTTAAAATACTCGCCCAGTAGGTCGACCCAGCCAAATAACACCTCCCGTTTGTAGCGAACCATCGGCCACGATACAAAACCTATCTCCAGGTTCTTTTCTTCTGGTCTGGAATACATTTTGGTATAAATACATTTTACATTTACATTTTAAGAATACATTTTATCACATTTGTAATAAAATAAATTGAAAAGTAGGCACAGTTGACGGTTGTTTACAAATATTTGAAATGTCAACTACTTTTCTTGCAGTATGTAAAAATGCAAAGCATTATAAGATCTAACTTTATAATCTCAAAAACATGCATTCTTTTGGATGGAGTGTGGCTTTGCCGATACTGTGTTGTTACTTTAAGTTTTAAAAGTAAATCTTATTATTATATCAAAATGGATTTTTATCTGAAGGGATTATTTTAAAGATTCTGAATCACCCACTTGACAAATTTTATTATTCTTCTTCTGAAAGGAAGTATATTTCAAGAGGGGAAGTACATCCAGGTTTTACTTTTAAAGAGTTGAGTTTTAATTTTTTTCTAAAGGCTAGCAGCTGACGCTAACATTTTATGTTTTTTTTCAGTGCATTATAATTTTGTTTTAAGCATACAGCTAGATTTGTAAAAAAAATTTTAATGAGCCACTTTTTATAAAATGTGCTGCTAACGAAATTCTCCTTTCCCCCTAATTTCATCGTTGGGAAAGTTGGTAAAAAGTTCTAACTAGTTAGAAGTTATTAGTTAGTCCCGTAAAAAGTAATTGATACAAGTTATTAGTAAGGCTAGTTAGAAAACTAACTGATAGAAAATAAAGATAGTTTTCGAAGAAGTTAGCTGTTTGTTGGGCAGTTGTTTTAAAGGATTTCATCAATTTCAAGGAAAAAAGAGTTTTTTTTTTTTACCATAAAACTGTTGTCAGAATTTGCCTCTATGCTGAAGAATTTATCTATGATGAAGTTATTGTCCACATCTCTTGAAATATGCTAATTAAATACTGTACAATGATACTTACGTCACATCATCTAGTTTATCCACTTCATAAACTGTATTCATGCATCCCAACTCACAAGAACAGCTCATTTGTGTTAGCTCATCTGAAATTTAATTTTTGTAGATTAAAATAAGTTTGACAAAGAAAATATTTCAATATTAGCGAAGTGTTTAGGGTATAAAATAATTATTTGTAGACCTAACGATGGATTTATTACATTACCGGTAACTAATAACTATAGGTACCCAAACAAAAGAATTACTTGCCTTAATACTGATACTTAAAATAAAAAATTTAAATATGTCTTTGTTTTTCTGTGTTGGTATTAAATATTGGCATGTTTTACTAAGAACAATACGCTGATTGGTAAAGTCTAGGGACATTTAATTTGCACAAGAGAAAGACAAATAAAATTCACCAACTTACCTGAATGTTTAGCCAAGCAACCCAATCCCTTCAGGTCACATCGAGGGAACTTTGCTAAAACAATATGTTCATCTTAAGTACACATTTTGAAATCAATAGTAAGAATAGTAAGTAATAGTATAAAAAGAGTATGAAATTAAGTATAAGTAAAATTTATAAGAAAGAAAGACACATTTTGGAAATTTTACATCAAACTAAGTATCTTACTCCAGTCCACACTTACCTTGCAATATTCAAAAACTAATAATAATATCGGGATCATGATTTAATTTTGTCTTAATTTTAATTCAGTTGGTACGTTACTCACACAAACACAAACCACTCTTCTTTACAATGTAGAAAATGGTGTAGTAGTACTAGTAGTGGGGCGGGCAATGTGTGGGAACAGCACTTCCACATTGCTTTTTCCAAAGAATACTGGTAAGCGACCTTGGTGATAGTTCCCACACTGGAAAAACGACTACACCACTTGAACGTAAATATAACTAGAAAGAAAGCAAATACATGTACCCAGTTCAGGATAGAAGTACGGTAGACATTTGCAGAGAGCGAAAGCTTTCTTCATGCGACACTCCATCATGCAGCCTCCGTAAGTGTAGTTGCCCCCGGTCAACAGTTTGATCTCCTGCGGGAAGACGCAATGACGCTGTTTGATGCTCAACTGCCGCACATCCTCCATCGTGTACGTATGTTTCACGGAGAAGAAGACAGAGTGGATCGTACGTTTCCACACGTGCTGCGGAACCATGTCTAGCGTTGGTACTTCATCCGCACTGTGGATGAACACCTGGAAATGTGTTGGGTCGTTATTGTGTGCTGCAATGTTTAGTACAGTTACCGTATGGTGTTTTATCAGTCATTGTTATGACTGATCTGGCTTTTACCTAAACATCTACATTACCTGGCTTTTAAACATGGTTAACAACTATTATAACTTCAACATTTTGATTCAGCTAAAATTCAAGTTTGAGAATATATTCCACAATTTATTTCTCAGTTTTATT